CCAGTGGTCATTGGCGCACTGGGTGCCATGCCAAAAGATCTCAGCCGACATTTGGAAACAATAAACATTGACAAAATCATGATCTGTCAACTACAAAAGGCCACCTTACTTGGATCTGCACACATCATTCGAAAATATATCACACAATCCTAGACTCTTGGGAAGTGTTCAACTTGTGATTTTGTGATACAAAATCCAACATATATGTCTCATTTGCTGTGACATACTGTGCTTTTGTGTCAGTAAAATATTAATAATAAATAAAAAACTTTATTTATATCTCACAACCATCTCCCCAAAGGGACTTGGGGTGGCTTACAAAAGCACTCCACAGTGCATATATAACATACAGCAAGTAAAAAACAGTACATAAGTACAAACAGTCACATAAAATTATAACAATGTGATACTGAGGAAAGGTTTTGAGAGTTTTTTGCCCATTTTAGAGGAAAGGCAGGTTCTAAATCCAGTCCTTTGGGTGGATCTTTGTCTGTACTCTCGTGGCTTGTTCTCGGTCTTGAAGTTCTTCTGATGTCTGTGGAGGAGTATCCATTGGACTATGGAACCCAGTGTAGGTGGTTCAGTTCACCTTGGAGGAGGCGGAGTTTGCTGATTCTTTTTGCATGATGTGCCAGGGCTTTCATTTTGCTTCTTTTTTTTACTTTAGGAATTCTTGGAAGAGTCTCCAAAACAATACCTAGTAGTGTGGGAAGCCTGTTACTGGCTTTGCTTCTGCCTATATATCTTTTTCATTTGGTGGATTTGTATTCCACGTTTTAACTCCAGTCTTTTGAGTGGGAACTGCACCAAATCTTAGTTCAGACACCACCAGGAAGGGTAGAGTATAAATAAACCATTAAATAAATAACACAAGTGCCGATAATAACACATATAGGTACAGAGCTAAGTTATAATCACAGGTACGATATGATACTATCAGCTGAAATGACTCACTCTCTCTCCAACACACTTTTCTTTTAAAATACATAGTGAGGAGATCCATAGGGACCTACAAGCCAAATAAAGGCAACATCCATGTTAGGACACAATGTACTTGAACATCAGATGCTGGTACAAGCAATTATGATGGAATACAGCATTACTTCCATGGCCTCCTTCTGAGCTTCCCAAGGGCATTTAGCTACAAATTTTGCCTAGCAGTAAAAACCTTGGGTTGCTGTGAGTTTTTTGGGGTGTGTGGCCATGTGATTCACCCTGTGATTCCAGCCATGAAAGCCTTCAACAACACAGTAAAAACTTTCCTAGGGATCAGGTATATTAGTTTATCTGAGGGAGAGAAGAAAAGCCTTTTGGTATCTGAAAGTTTGCACCAAATAAAACATGAATTATCTTTAAGGTGCCACAAGACTTTCTGTGTTGATACAGCTAGTGGAGGTGCCGGGTGACCTTCATTATGAGGGATGCACCTTATTTGAGGGCAGAAACAGTTCCTTTTCCTGAGGAACTGTTTTCTGAGGATGCCTTCCATAGTTGTGGGTGAAATGTCAGGAGAGAATGCTTCTGGAACATGGCCATAAAGCCCAGAAAACTCCCAACAACCCAGTTCCTTTTCCATTCCAGATGTGAAAAACCTCTGAAATTGTGGGTGGGGTGCTTCACACGGACCAAAATGTACACATTATATAATTTTAATTAGATTTAATTTCATTAATTTTACAGAAAACTTTGGATTAAATGAACTGGAATCAATACTTTAAACTAGGTAGGTAGGAAACAAAATTGTTTGTAACTCCAACTTAATTGTAAACCCATATTATGGAACTTTTTATTCCTGGAGGATAATTTCTCCTTTCCAGTCGCAAGAATGGGGAAGGCTAAAGGATTCTCTGAACATAAACGAGAATGTCTCTTCTGAATTGGAGGAATATTCGGGAGGGTAAAGGCACTCATCGCTCCATCTGCCATTGGATCCCTTCAGGAAAAGGGTCACTCCTTGCATATTTCCTTGTTATTTTCATCCAAAAATAGACAGGACCATAGCTTGTTCAATATACTGAACCACTTTGGCTCCAAGACATCTCAATATATTGCTTTGAATGTGATTTTCCTGCTTCTTGGCAGGGGGTTGGACTGGATGGCCCACAAGGTCTCTTCCAACTCTATGATTTTATGGTGTCACACCCCCATGCAGTCCATCTCTGTGAGGCCACTTCACTCCTTGCATTGATTTTTTGAGCCTATCTCAGGGGCCTTCTACACTGCCCTAATACTTACTTAGGCAATCCCTCGTAGCCTGAGGATGATGGTCCTCCAAATGTAGTGTCTTGGTGGTGGGTCCATAGGTGGCTACAGAGCCCTATTCTTGATCTGCATGTTCTCCTGCAGAGAGGACATTGGTTTCCAGGTGGAAGGCAGTCCTGGTCAGGGTTGACTTGATGTGCTTTTTTCTTGGCACATTTCTCCCTTTTGCCCTCCATTCGTGCATCTTCGAATAATGCAGCACTGCTGGTCACAGCTGACCTCCAGTTAGAGCACTCAAAGGCGAGGGCTTCCCAGAATATCAAGGCAGAAAATCCCACATGCTGGAATGTGTCCAGAGGAAGTTGACTCAAATGATCAAGGGTCTGGTGAACAGGCCCTATGAGGAGCAGATTATGGTCCTTCCACACAGCCCTATATCCCAGAATATCAAGGCAGAAAATCTCTCAATATCTGCTTTGAACTGGGTTCTCGGAGTCCACACTTAGATCATGTGGGATTTACTGCCTTAATAATCTGGAATATAGGGCTGTGTGGAAGGGCCCTTTAAGCCCATCTTTAGGAGCCCCCAGTGGTGCAATGGGTTAAACCCTTGTGCCAGCAGGACTAAAGGTAGGTTGGAGGTTCGAATCTGAGGAGAGTGGTTGAGCTCCTTCTGTCAGTTCCAGTTACCTATGCGGGAACACAAGAGAAGCCTCCCACAAGGATGGTAAAACATCAAAACATCCGAGCGTCCCCTTGCAGACAGTCAATTCTCTCACACCAGAAGTGACTTTTAGTTTCTCAAGTTCCACCTGACATTTCTCAAGTTCCTCCATTACATTTCCCATTCTTGAGTTTGGAGTTTGTGACTGCCTTATATCCCAGAATATCAAGGCAGAAAATCCCACAATATCTTCTTTGAACTGAGTTATTTTAGGGCACTTCCACAGCCATTTAACCCAGAATATCATGACAGAAAATCCCAAAATACCTGCTTTGAACTGGGTTATCTTAGGGCCCTTCCGCACAGCCATTTAACCCAGAATATCAAGGCAGAAAATCCCACAATAGCTGCTTTGAACTGGGTTATTTTAGGGCCCTTCTACACTGCCATTTAACCCAGAATACCAAGGCAGAAAATCCCACAATAGCTGCTTTGAACTGGGTTATCTTAGGGCCCTTCCACGCAGCCATTTAACCCAGAATACCAAGGCAGAAAATCCCACTATAGCTGCTTTGAACTGGGTTATTTTAGGGCCCTTCCACACTGCCATTTAACCCAGAATATCAAGGCAGAAAATCCCAGAATACCTGCTTTGAACTGGGTTATCTTAGGGCCCTTCTTAGGGCCCCCTCTTCCTCCCTCCCTCCCTTTTCTTCTTTCCTTCCCTTCTTTTCTTCTTTCCTTCTTTCTTTCTTTCCTTCCTTCCTCCCTTCCTTTTCTTCTTTCCTTTCTTCTTTTCCCAGAATATCTGCTTTGAACTGGATTATTTTAAGGCCTTTCCACACAGCCATTTCACCTAGAATATCAAGGCAGAAAATCCCACAATATCTGCTTTGAACTGGATTATTTTAGGGCCCTCTCTTCCTTCCTCCCTTTTTTCTTCTTCCCTTCCCTTCTTTTCTTCCTTCTTTTCCCAGAATATCTGCTTTGAACTGGGTTATTTTAGGGCCCTTCCACACAGCCATTTAACCCAGAATATCAAGGCAGAACATCCCAGAATACCTGCTTTGAACTAGGTTATCTTGGGGCCCTTCCGCACAGCCATTTAACCCAGAATACAGCCCTGTATTATCCCAGTTTATCAAGGCAGTAAATCCCACATGATCTGAGTGTGGACTCCGAGAACCCAGTTCAAAGCAGATATTGAGAGATTTTCTGCCTTCGTATTCTGCCTTGGTACCCTTGATCATTTGAGTCCAACTCCTCTGGACACATTCCAGCTTGTGGGATGTTCTGCCATGACATTCTGGGATATAGGTGGTGCAGTGCGTTAAAGCACTGAGCTGCTGAGCTTGTTGACCAAAAGGTTGCAGGTTCGATTCCAGGGAGCGGTGTGAGCTTCGCTGTCAGCCCTAGCTTCTGCCAACCTAGTAGTTTGAAAACATGCAAATGTGAGTAGATCAATAGGTACAGCTCTGGTGGGAAGGTAACGGCGCTCCATGCAGTCATGCCGGCCACATGACCTTGGAGGTGTCTACGGACAACGCTGGCTCTTCGGCTTAGAAATGGAGATGAGCACCACACCCCAGATTCAGACATGACTGGACTTAATGTCAGGGGACAACCTTAACCTACCAAGGCAGAAAATCCCACAATAGCTGCTTTGAACTGGGTTATCTGAGTCCATATGTTCCAGTTCAAAGCAGAAATGGTGGGATTTTATTCAGCTGTGTTGTGGAAGGGGCCTGAGTCCACCCCTAGAGAATGTGGGCTTCCCTGCCTTGATATGCTGGGCTAGAGGGCTGTGTGGAAGGGCCCTCAGCTCCTTTGGCAAAGAAATGCTCTGGCAACCTTTCAGAGTCAGGGCAGAGGAGTTGGGCTCCTAAGGAGGGAAGGGGGCGGAGTCAGAGGGAGGCGGCCCACCTGTGATTGGGCAGCCGGGGCGTCCATTCACTTTCTTCCCCTTCCTTCGCTCCCTCCCTCCTTCCTCCCTCCTTCGCCTTCCCTTATGGATGTCTTCCAGAGGCGCGCTCCTTCCCTCCCTCCCTCCCTCCCTCTGCTGCTGCCGCCCCTCCCGTCGGAAAGGGCAGTTCCAGTCTAGCGCTGACGTCACCCCGCCTGTCTGCTCCCAGCCGCGGCCCCCTCCCTCCCTCCTGAAACTGAATCTCCTTGGACTTGAATGAGGAGCAAAGGACGGAGGGAGGGAAGAGGAGGAGGAGGAGGAGAGAGGAAAGGAAAGGGAAAGAGGGGGAAGGAGGAGGAGGGGAAAGGAAAGGAAGGGGGAGTTGCGAAGCTCTCTCGCCTGGGAGAGAGAGAAAGAGAGGGAAGAGAGGGAAACAAAGTCGCAAGACTCTTTTCCGCCCAGCAGCGCGGCTAGCGCCAACTTCGAGGGCTGGAGGGGAACTCGCAGGAGGAGGAGGAGATGGGGCTGGCCGGGGCCGAGACCGAGACGGCTGGGCTTTGACTAGAGCCAGAGGTCGAGCCATCCCGACTGTAGCGGGCTGCCTCCCTGCCTGAGAAGCGGGGACCGGGGCGCCCCTTTCCTCGCTCTCCGCCTGCCTGCCCGGCTCGCCCTCCTGGGCCCAGGCGAGGCGCCGGCTTTATGGTGATCCCGGCGGAGTTGTGCGCCGAGGGTGCTCCTTGCCGCCGGGCTCCGTGGCCGCCCCGCCGCCCTCCATGTATCACTTGATGGGGCTCAACGGCACCAGCGGAGCCAGCCAGCCCAATGTCTCCTGCACATGCAACTGCAAGCGCTCTTTGTTCCAGAGCATGGAGATCAGTGAGTAGGGGCGCTCCGTTGCGGGGGGGAGGGCGGTAGAAAGGGGGTCTCCCTCAGACAAGGGCTCCCTCCTCCTCCTCCTCCTCCTCCTCCTCCTCCTCCTCCTCCTCTTCTCCACTCCCGACGTGGAGGGCTTCCAGTTCTCCCAAACTTCCCTCTTTTATAGTTTCTCTAAAAGTTTTCTTCTGCTGCGGGTTAGCAAGCCGGCCTCCCATCTCTCTCTCTCTCTTTCTCCCCCTTTCCTTCCTTCTTTCCTCTACTAAAGAACCGCCACTCTAGCCGTTTGGCGGAGAAATACGAACCCGGGCTTGTTTCTTGACCCATTTCCCAAAAGGCACACAAACACAGATATACGCAAACACACACTTTTCTTCTTCTCCAAAGCCAACCCGCTCTGTGTCCCTGTTTGAGGCTTGATTGGTTTTGAAAGGGGGAAGCTGAACTTCAACTCGAACTCTGCTCCCACCTCCTTAAAATAAAAATTATTTTATTATTATTTATTACTATTTTTATTTTACCATTTTATTTTAATTATTATTATTTATTGTTCAATTATTATTTATAATAATTTATTATATCATTACCTATTTATTATTTTTTAAATTTTATATTATTTTAAATTATTTATATTTATTATCGTTTATTATTATTATTTATTGCTATTATTTTTATTTTAGTTTATCATTTTATTTTATCTAAACTATTTATTATTTAATGATTTATTATACTTTATTATATGATTACCTAGTTTATCATTTTATTTTAACTATTATTTAATTATTTATTGTACTTTATTATATTATTACCTATTATTTATTGTTATTTTATTATTTTATATTATTTTTAATTATTTTATTCTTATTACCATTTATTATATCATTATTGTTTATTACTATTATTTTATATTATTTTTATAATAATATTTATTTTTATTATTTATTTTTATTTTATTATTATGGGGGGGAGTGCAGGGGGAGAAGCCGACCTCCCGGACCTGCCTTGGGGTTTTCCTTCCAGCCTCCAAACGGGAGCAGCAGCAGCAGCAGGAGGAGCTCCCTTTCCTGGCTCCTTTCTCTCCCCCCCCCCCCTCCTCTTCCTCCTTTTTTAGGGGAGTCCGAGGCCGGGTCTCCCTTCTGGAGGAACGGGGGGGGGGGGGGAGGCGACCCCAGGCGGCTGCTCTGCTGCTGGCCCCGCGGAGCTTTGTCTCTTCTTGGCCGAGCCAGACGGCGGCCCAGGCTGCTGGGGCTATTTAAAGCACCCGCTCCGGAGCAGCAGGAGGAGGAAGAGGCAGGCAGGCAGGCAGGCAACCGCGCCGGGAGCCCTGGGCTCTCCACCAGCCCCAGCAACAGCAGCAGCAGCAGCAGCAGGCTCTCCCAGGCAGCCTTTCCGACGAGCAGAACCCCCCCCCCTCATTTCCCACCCCAGTTTCCCCCACTTTTCCAGCCCCACTTTTCCACCCCTAGTCTCCCCATTTTCAAGTTTACCCCTTCCCACCCCAGTCTTTACTGATCCCCAGCTCCACTCTCCATCCCAGCTTTTCCTAGGTTCCAGCCCCACTTTCCCATTCCAGTCTTGCCTCCTTTTCCACCGCAGTTTCCCACCTTCCCAGCCCCTCTTTCACCCGTCTTTCCCACTTTTCTAGTCCCCCTTTCCATCCTAGAATCATAGAATCAAAGAGTTGGAAGAGACCTCATGGGCCATCCAGTCTAACTCCTGCCAAGAAGCAGGAATATTGCATTCAAATCACCCCTGACAGATGGCCATCCAGCCTCTGTTTAAAAGCTTCCAAAGAAGGAGCCTCCACCACACTCCGGGGCAGAGAGTTCCACTGCTGAACGGCTCTCCTAGTCTTTCCCAGATTCCAGCCCCATTTTCCCACTCCAATCTTGCCCACTTTCCCAGCCCTTCTTTCTCACCCCAGTCTTTCCCACTTTTCCAGTCCCCCTTTCCATCCTGATCTTTCCAGGTACCAGTCCCCCTTTCCCACTCCAGTCTTGCCCCCCTTTCCTGGCCCCTCATTCCCACTCCATCTTTTCCCATTTTTCCAGTCCCCCTTCCCATCCCAACCTTCCCAAATTTTGAGCCCACTTTCACACTTGTCTTTCCCACTTCTCCACTTGCCCCCTTCCCACGCCAGTCTTTCCACCACCCCCTTTTACACCCCGATCTTGCTCTTGCAGTCTTCCTTTCCCCATCCCAATCTATTTCTATCTGCCTCTGTTTCTCACCACAGTTTCCCTAGCTTTTTCCAGTCTCCTCTTTCATACCCTAGACTGGGGTCTTTCCCACTTTTCCAGCACCCCTTTCCACCCCAACATTCCCCAATTTCCAGCCATCAATTTCCCTGCCACAGTCTTTCCCACTTCCCCAGTTACTCCTTCGTACCCCAATCTTTCCACCTTTCCAGCCCCTTCTCTTTTGGCTTGTCCCCATGTGAGCCTCCCGGAGTCTCTTCAGGGAGATGGAGGCAGAGTACAAAAATAAAGTTATTATTATTTTGCTCATTTTGCTATCTTCCTTTCCCCATCCCAGTCTTTTCCCAGCTGCCCCTCTTTCCACCCCAAATTTCCCCTTCACATTTTAGACTGGGGTCTTTCTCACTTTTCCAGCCCCCTTTCCATCCCAACCTTTCCCTTTCACACCTGTCTTTTCCCTTCCCCAGTTGCCCCTTCCCGCCTCAATCTATCATACTTTTCCAGCCCCCTTTCCATCCCAGCCTTTTCCATTTTCCAACCCCCCTTTCACATCTGTCTTTCCCCCTTCCCACCTCAATCTATCTTACTTTTCCAGTCCCCTTTTCCACCTCATTTTCCCAATTTTTCAACCTCCACTTCCCATTCCAATCTTTTCCGATTTCCAGTCCTTCTTTCCCACTCACTTTCCCCACCAGTCTTTCCCACTTTTCCTTATTCACACACACACACACACACACATGGCATTTCCCCCCAAAATTTATAGTTACAATAAACTGTGGTGATGATTGGAAGGATATATCAGCACATTTGCATTGAAGAAAGTTAGAATAAGGATTTAATCAGAGTTGGACAGTCTTATCTTAAATTTCAGTTTTATGTAAAGTGTTCAAATTGCCCATTGCTGCGCAGCCGCGCATTCCACGCATACTCAAAGCAGAGAGCTGCTGATTTCACTTAAAGTTTGTCTGCAAATTTCATAACACTTCTTTACTCTTGGAATAATCAATCCTATTAAGGATGTATACATTTTGTGGGGGGAAATGCAAGAACCGGTAATAATCCAGAATTATAAGATATAAAGGATATATATTTTTTGGGGAGACACCCTCTTTAATTCGATTTTCTGCCATCTCCCCTGCCCCCCCCCCCCCCGGGCTATTGAATTACCCAGCCCTTCTTCCTGAAGTCATATTATTAAAGGATTCCGTGCATTCATTAGGACTGTCTCAAGGTTATTTGCTATGATAGTTACAGGGGAGCCCTCAGGGTCAAGAGGCAGCCCACCTTGGAAAGCCATGGTCAGGGTCTATTGGGGTGGACGTGTTATGGATTTGGTGTTCTGTAAGTTTTCAAGGGAAGCCATATGGCACATGTTGGGAGAGCAGAATGCTGGATCAAATGGGTTTGGATTGATCCTGCTGAGCTCTTGTTAAATCCGAGTAGACCTTGAGGAGGGAAAGGGACTAATAGTTGAGCAAAGAAGTTGCCTCACCAAAGAGTCTTGTCTGTTTATGTGCACCTTGAGAATGTGAATGTTGTGTCCAGCACACCAGCATTTGTGACTATAAATAGTAATCACTAGGTCTGAGAAGTAGATTACAGCTCTGTCTAGCCTTCTGAAAGGCTAAGTCAGACAAAGTTGGCTGTTTTCCCTCTGCCTGTGTGTGCGAGAGAGTGTCTATAAAACTGGCTAAGTCAATGTATTGTGCTAGAGACCAAAGAGAAGACGTTTAGCATTGTATTCCCTGGATATTTCTAAAAATCTTATGCAGGCCTATGGCTGTAATCGATATGTGATATATATAAAATGTGTAGGGCTATATGAAAGCAAGATGGGTGATTAAATAGCTTTATACATTTCATAGGGTCCGGGAAACTGTGATTTTTAAACCCAGGCTGCCATTCTCTACCTGCTTACCTGAGTTAGGATCTCATCACACTAAAGAATGAATCCACTTTAAATCCGGTTGCTGCCTCCTGCAGTATTCTGCCTCACTAACAGCCTCACTAAACTACAAACCCCATAATTCTGCAGGAGGCAGAAACCGGATTTAAAGTGGATTCATTCTCTAGTGTGATTTTTTTTTTCATATCAGGAGCAACTTGAGAAACTGCAAGTCACTTCTGGTGTGAGAGAATTGGCCATCTGCAAGGACCTTGCCCAGGGGACGCCTGGTTGTTTTAATGGTTTACCATCCTTGTGGGAGGCTTTTCTCATGTCCCTGCATGGGGAGCTGGAGCTGACAGAGGGAGCTCATCCATGCTCTCCCCGGAATCGAACCTATGACATGTCAGTCTTCAGACTTGCCAGCACAAGGGTTTAACCCATTGCACCATCATTGTGTGATAAAGTGCTTAGACTTACTGAGCTTCTGTATAGCACTGCAATCCATGCAGTCAGATACATTTCCACTCTGTTCTTGCTTTACTCTTCTGTAATGTTATGCATATGATATGCATCTTTTTTAAAAAAATCTCAAGCACAGGCAAGCTTTAGAAGATATTTAGATTTTTAATAGTTGTTCTGTTGTTTAATGATTTTAGCAGATTTTCAGTATTTCCACCTCACACTCACATTGAACAAGCCAAGGGTCTAGTATTGGAAGCATATACATCCTCATTAATTCTTGGTGTAGTAGTGCCCTTGATGTAATTGCTATATGGCTAGACGCATGGGGTCTAATAACGCCTGTGGGAGGGCCTGTCTCTCCTATTACCCCTGCCGGTTGAAGGTGTATGTGTCAAATTACTTCCTCCCAAAATTCTGCAAATTAAAAATCCCTCTCCATGGAAAATGTGATTTTT